ATCCCACCCAGCCACACGGAATTTGGCTGGCAGAACCCATGCGGTTGCGACTGCGATGAGTGCTCGGCGTTGGCTGGCGCATCGCCGCGGCCACGCTAGCGCGCATGCTCCAGCGCAAAGCGGCCAGCTAGTTTGGCGCGACCGACGCGGCCGCGGAAGCGCTGACCGTTTGGGCTCATCCCAGCGTGCACTTCAGTGCGAATCGGCAATTTGGGGCGGGCGCGGTATCATGGCAGCGCCGACAACGGTAGACGCGATGATGATAGTCGCGATGCTGGTGACGATGGTGACCACTACGACGGCACGGCCAGTGACGGCGCCGATGCGCATCACGCCGGCGACGATGATGGCGTCTTCGCGTCGGTGATGGAATGTTTGGAAGGAGTTCGATACGCGCGCGTGGCCGACGCGCGAGGAAGTGTGCCGCATGGTGTTATTTGACACGGATCGCGCCCCCCTCCACAGCGCGCGCAAATGCTTTAAAATGATGTCGACATGCGGCGCGAGAGGCGAGGCCCATTTAGCAGAATTTAATGAACATGTTGAGAAACCTGTTGCGTTCCCAAAAATTTGCAAGACCACGAGCGAAGGTTTTTGGTAGTTTTTCGGCTTGGTTTGAAATCGATTGTTGCAGAAACGTGTCTTTTAACCCCACATCGTAAGTGGGGTCCTTGCTCCTCACATCCTAAAGGGGGTTCTTGTTTTCTATGCACCCCCCCCGCGCAGGATCTCCTCCTCCCCTTCTTCCTCACCACTCACTGACACACTCGCATCATAGTCATCAGCATCATCACAACATCATTATCACTCACACACTCGTTCACACTCCCTCGATCATTCTCATTCACTTATACCTTATTCACTCACTATCCCACTCACTCACTCACTTCTCCTGAGTGGCTCACTCACATTCATAATTACCACTGGGTGAATTGCGAGGAAGTCTCAGGCGGGACCACCCTCCTTATGTGGCCCGCAGATCATGTTATTAATCCGAGCGGGTCATCGGAACCGTGTGGTTGTCGTCACACTTTGGCCTCCTCAGGCTTGGATATGGCGGAAGTCTGGAGCGGGAGCGTCGTTTGTGAGTGAATTGTGAGGAAGTCTCATGCGGGACCCCCCCTCTTATTGGGCCCGCAAATCATGTTATTAATCCGAACAGGTCATCGGAACCTTGCAACCGTCGTCATTTTTGGCTTATTGAGGCCATTGAGGCCTGCATATGGACGACGTTTCGAGAGGGAACGTCGTCTGTGAGTGAATTGTGAGGAAGCCTCAGGCGGGAACCCCCTCCATACGGGGCTCGCAGGTTATGTTATTAATCCGAGCGGGTCATCGGAACCGTGTGACCGTCGTCACTTTTGGGCCCCTGAGGCTTGAACATGGAGGAAGTTTGAGGGGGGAGCTTTGTTTGTGAGTGACTTGCGAGGAAGTTTCAGGCGAGAACCCTCTACCTATGGGGTCCGCAGTCCATGTTGGCAATCCGAGCGGGTCACCAGAAACTTGTAAGTGTCGTCTCTGGCTCCCCAGGCTTGAATCTTGAGGAAGTCTCAGGCGGGAACCTCGTCTGTGAGCGAATTGCGAGGAAGTCTCAGGCGCGAACCCCCTCCTTATGGGGTTCGCAGTTTATGTTATCTATCCGAGCGGGTCGTCGGAAACTTGTAACCGTCGTCACTTTTGGCTTTGTCAAGCTTGAGTATGGAGGAAGTCACACGCGGGAGTTTCGCTTGTGTGGGAGGGAGCCCCCTTCCTACGGGGCCCGCGCCACGCGCATGCGAAACATGATGATCCTGCGGCCGCCGTCGCGACAGTTCTTGCAGCGAGGGCCGCCGGCGTCTTTACGGAAGGCGCTCCTGGAGTTCGACAACAAAACTGAGAGCTCCAGGGCAGAAGCGGACAGCTCGCGGCAAAGCTGGGCTTCGTGTTGCCTCCCGCCTGAGCGCGGTAGCGCCCCGCTCGAAGCCCGCGTGTTTGTCCCAACGGCTTGGTCTCGCGCGCCAGCGGCACGCGGGGTTGCCCCGACGGCCTGGCCCGCGGGGTTGCCCCAACGGCTGGGCGATGTGGCCATTCAAGAATGCGCCCGTGCTGGGCGAGGCGGCGACGGCGCCGAGGGAAATCGACATGCGCGCTCATGCCGGGAGGGAGGATATGCGCACGAGGAGAACGGGCGGGGTGGCGATGGGGAGGGGGAAAAAGGAGGAGGAGGTGGAGGAGGAGGGGGGGAAAAGGTGGACGAGGACGGGGACATGAGGAGGAAATGGACGAGGAGGAGGAGGCGGACGAGGAGGAAAAAAAAAAGGAGAGGTGGACAATTATGAGAAGACATGCAGCGAGTAGGGCGAGAAGGAACAAGAGAAATAGGAGGAGGAGGGGGAGGAGGAGGACGAAGAGGAGGAATAGGTGAGGGAGGAGGAGGGGGAGGAGAAGGAGGAGGAGGAGGAGGATGAGGAGGACGAGGAGGAGGAAGAGGATGAGGAAGAGGAGGAGAAGGGGGAGGAGGAGGAGGAGGAGGAGGAGAAAAAGGACGAACAGGAATACGAGACTTCGAACAAAAAGGGCGACCAGGAGGAGGGGGCGGAGGACGAGAAAGACAAGGAGGATGAGGAGGCGCAACACAGGGCGATGCGGAGGGCTTCGGCCAGGGTGAAGAGGAAGAAGCGACAGGCACTCTGATTGTATTCTCATGCGGGGTCCCACCGTCGGAGTAACTCCATGTTGTCGGGGCTCGATTCCGAGCTTCTAACGAAACCTTTTGGTTTTTGATGGATCCCGGCGCGCGCGCGACGACGCGCGCGCGTGATTAGCGCAATTTTTTTGTAAAGGGTTCTTGCGACGGTGCGCGCACAAGGGCTATTTTGCGATTCCGGCACGCGCGCGCGAGAGGCCCGTGTGGTAGCACGTTACGGAAAAATGATCAACTCATTTTTTTGCTTGACCGTCGTTGTTGGGGCACCATGTGTTTATTTGTGTATATATATGTATGTATGTATAGGTTTTCGGGACATTCGTTTTTGATGTCCTTGCGAAGCTTCGGGGTTTGGAGGATTTCAGTATGCGCGCGCGACGACGCGCGCGCGTGCTTTCGTCTTTTTTTGTTGCAGGGGATTCTCGCGACTGCACGCGCGCAAGGGCGTTCGAACGATTTCGACATGCTCGCGCGCGAAAGTCGTTTGGTAGCATTTTCTGAAAATCTGGAAACACTTTTATTGTTTTGTCCAAGACTTCACAGGAGCGCGCGCATGAATGTTTGTTTAGAGAATCCGTGTTGCGAAACCTTTTGTTTTTATATGTTTTTTGGGCACTTGATTTTGACATCTTTCCGAAACCGAAGGTTTTTGAAGGATTTCGGCATGCGCGCGACGACGACGCGTGCGTGTGCTTTTCGTCCCATCTTTGCAAGGGGTCCTTGGCAACTGGTGAGTTTTGAAAAACGAGTGCGCGCGCATAGTACTTTTTGATTCTAGTGTGGGGGGGGGGGGCGATACCGGCCTTGTTGGGATAATTTGAGTTTATATTTTGGATGGGCGAGTGTGCGGAATAGATTTGGAAACGAATGCGCGGAGGGGGGGCCTTAAGTCGGTGTGTGTGTGGAGATTATAGACTCGTTATAACGAAGTCGATGTTGTCTGTTTGCTTCAAGTCCCAATGTCCCACCCGCAAGTTGTTCGGCAAAAGCCATGTGGCCACGATTTCGGTTTCTGATCGGCAGTTGCTAGCGCATCGTTGCGGCCGCGCTGGCGGGTGCGCGCTCTCGTGCACGGCGACCAGGTGGTTTAGCACAATTTCTGCGACCACGATGGCGCTTAGATACGCGTCTCTACGGCCAGGCTGGCGCGCGGACGATTCAGTGCGGGTCGGCGATTCGGGCGGGCGCGATACCATGATGACATCGACAACGGCGGCAACAATGATGATATCAGCCATGATGAGAGCGATTATGACGATGACGGCGGCACGACCAATGACGGCGCCATTGCTGGTGACGACGGTGACATTGCTGACGTCCGTGTGTTGGTGATAACGGTGGTTGTGATGATGGTGGCGATTGCGGCGATTGGCGATGACGATGCCGGCGTTGATGCGATGGCGCTGATGAGGATGATGAGGAAGTGCGCGCGCAGAAATTTATGGAATCCGAAGGACCGTCTGTTGAACAGTGCTTTCGGTTTTTGTGTATTTATACACAAACAGAACTACATCTTAAAATGTTTCGAACGCTGAGCTTCTGTGTTGCAATGTTTGCGTCGCTGCAGTGTTTGGTATGATTCCGACATGTGCGCGCGTTTTGACGTCGTGGTGTTTCTCTACGGGATTATTGCAATTTCTTATTTGAGATAGACGAGTTTGCGCGCATGGTATTGCTTGACAGGGATGAAGGGGGGTGTCAATATCAGCAGGGCTGGGATGCTATGGTTTCAGATGGTAAGTGAGCGGTGGGTTAAATTCATGTGTATACATCGGTGTTCTGAAAGTTTGGTGATGCAATGACATGCGATCGTCCTGCATTGGCAGGGGCGGGCTTCTGTTCGATGGTATTTCTAAGTCCGTGTTTTGTTTTACGCCGGGGTTCCAAAACACCATGTTTCAGACATATAATATTGCGTTATCTGATGCAATCCCGGGTGGTAGAATCCCGGATCTTTGGCCCGGCTGCTACTGATTCAGAGCGTTAGGGTTATAGGGGGGAAGGCAACGCCGTAGTGCCACGTCTTCCGCGGCGCACTGCGGCCTGGGAGGCAGGATGTGCAGCAAGAAGGGCCATGGCTGGCACAACACGAGGTTAAACCAGGCAGGGGTTTAAGCTGGAAGAGCCATCGTTGGAATGACAACGAGGAGGATGAGCAGCAGCAGCGGCAACATACCTCAGCAGAAACAGGAGGATCTTCAGCCAAAGGATGCGGCCAAGGCGGCTCTGGAGCATGTATGTCGCCGTTGTGGCTCCAAGATGTTGGCATCGTGGGAGCTCAGCCAACACAGGTAACTGAACCTTTAACGAAGCCATGCGTGTGCGCTCGCACGGAGCCATCTCGGCGGGAGCAGTTCTGTTTGCTGGACAAGCTCAGGCGGCCTTCTTGGCGGTGCCGTTGAACAGCACCGATGCTGCGCAAGCTCAACCTCACTCAGAGACCCTCTCGCTGGAGAGTGCATCGGCGTTACGGTCCATTATCCACGATCTGGTAGGCTTGCCTCTCGATGGCATTTGGACCAACAAGCAGAACGAATCTGCAGTTGTCAGGGGCTCTGTTGTTGACTGGACGGGTGTCCGCGCTGCTGCCTGGACTCTCGACGGGGTCGGAGCCAAACGGTATTCCGCCACTGTCGGCGACCACACGTACATTGGGGAGCTGAGTGGGAACATGTTGACGTGGAGCAATGGTGACACATGGGTCAAGCAATCCGGCAGCACAAGCGGCTCCGCTCCAGATCGGGATGAGTTCTTGGAGAGGTGCACAGAACACGTAAAGGATCTGGTGCTCACTCTTGACAGGGGCTACACGCACGCCCAGCTCCAGACGCTGTTGGGGAGCGAGTGCACGCTGTCTAGGCAGTTTCCAGAGACCCATGCCACCAAATTCCGCACGCACGAGGCCTGCGTTCGCTTCGCGGAGGAGCTGACGAAAGTGAGATTCAACGAGTTGGAGAAGGGAGAGTCAGCAGACCAGTACACTGCCTTTTGCGACAATTATCTCCTGGCCGTTGGCCCATCCCGTCACCGTGTCTGGATTGTGGGTCAAAGGCCCCTAGGGTGTTCGTTGGGATGTCGTGGGAGGCCTCTCGGGGGCCTCTTGGAGGCAGTTTTGAGGCCTCTTGGGGTCATTCTGGGTTCTCTAGCGGCCTCTGTTTGGCCTCTTGGGGGCCTCTTGGGGCCTCTTGGGGCCTCTTGAGCGCCTCTTGGGGCCTCCTGCGTGCCTCTTGGGGCGGAAGGCTCTGATTTTCGGTTCGTGTTCCCTCACTTGGGCCCCTTTTGGGGCCGTCTTGGGGCCCTCTTGGGCCGTCTTGGGCGCCTCTTGGACCGTCTTGGGACGCTCTTGGGCCGTCTTGGGGCCCTCTTGGAGGCCTCTGGGGCCCTTTTGGGGAGGTCCTGGGGGCCTCTTGGGCCGTCTTGTCGCGTCCGAAATCAGCAAAAGCGAGAACGCCAAACTCATTGAAAAACCTTCGGAACATCATGCCTCATGGGGCCCTCTTGGGAGGCCTCTTGGAGGCCCGTTGGGGCGTCGTGGAGGCCACTTGGGCCGTCTTCGGGCCGTCTTGGGCATCTTGCGCCGATCGTTCGGCGACTCGGGGCCCTCTCGGACCGTCTTCGGGGCCTCTTGGAGCCCTCTTGGTCCATCTTTGGGCCCTCCTGGCTTCGAGACAGTCACGCGAGACGCCGCGAGAAGCTCCAAGGGGCGCGCGGGAAACCCTCAAAATTTTGACAATTCGGGGTCCGGGCCTTTGAAGGGATTCGGCACAGGTCTTGAGGACACGCACGCTCCGCGCCCAGCGGCACGGTGGCGGATTTTGAGCACAGTCAGGCACCACCATAATTCGGCGATGCCAGAGGCTGCAATCGAACGCAGCTAAGGGTCCATAGGCGCATTTCAGGTTGATCCCGGTACAGGAGTGCTGTGATACCATGCTGATAATGAAGTCGAACGCATGCAATGGATTCACGACCAGAAACAAGTTAGGGTAAAGCGCTTGTTGAGAACTATTGTTAACGCCGCTCATGAGTAAGTCACCTCCCAGCAGGTGTCCTCCTAGCTAGAACTAGATCTCCAATCCTGAAGGGTTTTTCTTCGAGTCCCTGAATGCTTAACGCTGTAAGGGTTCTCGATTTGTTTTGATCGTGACCCCGCTGAGGGCGGACACCACCTGGAGCCGTTGCCTGCGTGGTGCTGTGTGGTGGTGGCGCGTCCCCATGTTTTAGACACGTTGCCCGTGCGGTGCCGCGTCGAACCCGTTGCCCAGGTGGTGCCGTATTGTATGTTGTGTCTAGTCATTATGTGCATCCTGTGAATGGATCTTGGAGTACGTGGTACCAGTGTTTGGACCCCAAATTGTGAAGATTCGGAGGCCAGAGGATGCCACACATTGCCACATAGGCAGTTGTGGATTCCACTGGAAGTGGGGCTTGTCGGGGCTGGTTGCGCGCTGGGGGAAGTATCAGCCAGGGCAGAAGGCGGGGCGAGGTATCTCTGGGATGGTCCCGGCCCTTTGAGATCTGTGGCCAGGGGCGACAGCAAGATGCAGATCTAATGTATTCAACCGCTTCGTGCATTCCGCTGGCTCATATTGTATCACCGTTCCCATCTGCTTATGTGCTAGTGACCATTGGAAGTCTGTTGGCTGGCGGGAGTTTCCCCTAGTGGTCGCGTGGAGCCCGCGTGTGGGAGAATCGGTCGCGGGGTAGATTGAGGGCAGTATTCAATCGAACACGCCACCACCGAAGTTTCACCATCGTAGCTGGAAACCATGAGAAGGCAGTACGCTATGCTGAGCTGTTCCGTACGCGGTTGGATCATCTTGGGGGACTCCAGGCTTTTTGGGTCTTAGAGGCTGGGGGCTGCCTTGGAGCGTCTGGAGCCATCTTAGGGTTACCTTAAGGCCTCTTGGGGCAGTTTCGGGGCCTCCTTTGAGCCTTTTGGGGGTCTCTTGGGGGTTCCTGATGGCTACCTTGGACCATCCTGGGCCTCCTTGCGCCCGTCTTGAAGGCTCTCGCAGGGCTGCTTCGGGGCCATCATGCGGCCTGCCACACACTGGTCCCCGCTCTCAGGCCCCTCTCGGGGCCCTCTCGGAACGCTCTTTGAATACTCTTGCTGATTTTCGGTGCCCGCTTTGGGCCCTTCTGGGGGCCACTTGGAGCTATCTTCGGCGATCTTGGAGCCATCTTGAGGCCCCAGAAGCTCATCGGAAGCGACACGGCGAGAAAGCCATAGTTATTCAAACGACGCCCTTATGAATACTTTCGGGGCCTCTTGGGGGCTGTCTTGGACCACCTCGGGGGCTTGCTTGGCCCGTCCTGGCCACGCTGAGGCAATACAGTCGGACCGAGGTCTAAGATCGAGGTCGGTTCGGGGAGGGTACCCCAGTGTTCTTCGTGCTTGTTGGATGCTCCTTTGCATCCTGCGGAGGGTGCCCTTGGATGTTCTTTTTGTCTTGGCTAGCGGAGGGTCTCCTGCCCTTCAAGGATGTTCTTGTAGGTCCGACTGTGAGGAGGAGGAGGAGGAGGAGGAGGAGGAGGAGGAGGAGGAGGAGGAGGAGGAGGAGGAGGAGGAGGAGGAGGAGGGAGGAGGAGGAGAGGAGACGAGGAGGAGGAGGAGGAGGAGGAGGAGGAGGGGGAGGAGGAGGAGGAGGACGAAGAGGAGGAATAGGTGAAGGAGGAGGAAGAGGAGGAGGAGGAGGAGGAGGAGGAGGAAGAGGAGGAGGAGGAGGAGGAGGAGGAGGAGGAGGAGGAGGAGGAGGACTGGCAGCATCTTGGGATCATCTTTGGGCCAGCGTGGGCCCTGACGCTTTGGCCCGCGCTCTTGCGGGGCTCCTGCCTAGCCTTCGCCCGCTGCTCGCCCGCTCTTCTGGACCCTCTTTGGGGCTCTCTTGTGACCCTCACGAGGCCGTCTTGGAGACCTCTGGCGGCCACCGGGGTCCGAGAAGCCCACCGAAGCCCGCGGAGGCGGGAAGGTTGAACAAACACCCACACATATACACACAGCAATTAATGCTTAGTTTTATGATTCTGACGTTTTTCCCCAACCATTCTGGGGTTTGGGTCCTCGTTTTGAATCAGCAGCGCCCCGCGTCCTCTCCCGGTCCTCCGGGTCCTCCTCCCCCTCCTTCCTCCTGCTTCTGCCCTGGCACACCCCTGCCGCGTTTTCCAAGCCCCCATAGGAGCTCCACAGAAGTCCGCATGCAGTCGTGGGCTCATTTCGCTCGCCTCTGGAGACACGCCCTCGGTACACTCGACATGACGATGCCAGAGGGTCCCTGGGGCACCGCCGCACCTGGAGCACATCGGGCTCCTGGCGTAGCACTGCCTCGCGTAGTGCTTGCGCTCACTGGGCTACTGCCCGTTCACCAGGACCGACCGCACGTAGCCCTTATCCTCTCTGGTAAGGGGGGGCCAGTCCTTCGCAGTCGCCGTGGCCCCTGTCCCCACAGAGGTCCACCGCAGAAGCTGCGTGACCGGCAGGACCCCGTGTGGGAGGCTGACCCGCTCCAGCACCTTGGAGGACTGCCAGCGCTCGACCGACCTCTCCACGAGCTTCCTGGCCGTCCACGGTGCGTAGTCAGTCCTGCGCACGGTCGACGTGACCTGGCGGGACCCTCCACGCCATCAGGTCCTCGGGCTGCCAGCCGAGCCGCTGCAGGGTGACGAGGGCAGCTCCTGGGGGCGCGAGTGCTCCAGCGCTCACGAGCCGACCGGGGGGCCGCCGCAGCGCTCCCGTCTGCACTCGGGCGTCCGCTCCCGCGCCGGCCTCGCCGGTGCCTCCTGCCACTCCTCCGCGCCAGAGGCGGCGCAGCTCCGTGCTGGAGGCGTCCTGCAGCACCTTCAGCGGCAGCCACTTCTCCCACAGCGCCCTGTGCAGCGTAACCACCATGTCGCGGCTGCACCGATGGGCAGGGCCGAAGCCACGGCCGCCCGTCAGCATGAGGCACATCGTCTTGGACTTGTCCCCGACCCTGGGCCCCGTCGCGTGGAGGGCGATGCTGCGCAGCGAGGCCAGCTCCTGGTCGGTCGTCCCAGCCACGTGCATGCCGTACGTGGCAGCTGGCCTCCAGCCCGCACTTCAGACCACCCGGGCGGCAAAGCGCGACGGCGGCTCGTGGTGCCCAGCAGGCGGCGCACCCGCGGGACGCGAACGTGAGCGTCCTTGAGGCGCTACCGGATCACACGCCGCGGCCGCCGTGCGTCGACCCCCAGAGGCCTGGACCCTTTCCCCAGGACTGGTTTTTCATTCTGAGCCGTTTTCTGACGGTCCCGAGCTCCGAGGGCCCCCAGAGGCGGAAAACAGCGAAAGACTCGCCGTCGTGATTTTTGTCGCAGCCCGACGGGGCTCGGGGTGGCTACCCCGCAGCCAGAGGCGATCCCGCACGCACTGCAGCTGGCCCTAGAGCTCTCTGCGAAGGAGGAGGAGGAGAGAAGAAGAGAGAGGAGGAGAGGAGGAGGAGGAGGAGGAGGAGGAGGAGGAGGAGGAGGAGGAGGAGGAGGAGGAGGAGGAGGAGGAGGAGGAGGAGGAGGAGTAGGAGGAGCAGGAGGAGGAGTAGGAGGAAGAAGAAGCAGAAGAAGAGGAGGAGGAGGAGGAGGAGGACCAGTGTAAACTCAAGAGTCATCAACGATGTTGGAATTAACCTTCCCTCCAGGCCCCATTTTCATATGCCCCTACAACGGTTCATTTCCATTGAGGGAACTGCTTCGTTGGCAGACAACAGATTGAAGACCTTTAAACATGCCAAAACATTGCTCTCGGAATTTCCACGCCACGGATCAACCTGACTGCTGCGTCCTGACGATCTGGAATCGTGCCTGAACGCCGTTCTTGGGACTTCAACACAGCGAATCGACATAACTGTTGCACCCGCATCCAAAGCATTGTGTCTGGTACGTTGATCATGGGAATCCGTGCAACTCTTGCAAATGTTAAAAACGAATGTGCGCGTCGCTAAGGCGAGAGCCACATTTTGAAAAGGAATCGCCCTCAATCCGTGAAGCTCTTGCAATTTTTGAAACGAATGTGCGCGGCGCTGAGGCGAGAGCCACATTTTGAAAAGGAACCGCCCTCAGTCCGTGAAGCTCTTGCATTTTTTAAAAGAATGCGCGCAGGGCTAATGAGAGAGTCACATTTTGAAAACGACCCGCTTTCAATCCGAGAAACTCTTGCACATGTTTAAGTCGAATGTACGCGGCGCTGAGGCGAGAACCACACGTTAAAGAGGAGCCGCCCTCAATCAGTAACACTCTTGGCATTTTGAAACGAATGTGCGCGGCGCTGAGGGGAGCGCCACATTTTCAAAACGTCCCGCCCTCCATCTGTGAAGCTGTTGCCAGTTTTCAAGCTTCAGAGTCACAACTGGCGAGGAAGTCTCAGGCGAAATGCCTGGCCCGCACTAAAAACTGGCCTCGGGGTGCGACAGGGAGAAGGTCTTCATAAGGAGGAGGAGGACGAGGAGGAGGAGGAGGAGGAGGAGGAGGAGGAGGAGGAGGGAGGGAGGGAGGGAGGGAGGAGGGAGGGAGGGAGGAGAGGGGAGGAGGAGGAGGAGGAGGAGGAGAGGAAGGAGGAGGAGGAGGAGGAGGAGGAGGAGGAGGAGGAGGAGGAGGAGGAGGAGGAGGAGGAGGAGGAGGAGGAGGAGGAGGAGAGGAGGAGGAGGAGGAGGAGGAGGAGGCGGAGGGGAGGAGGAGGAGGAGGAGGAGGAGGAGGAGGAGGAGGAGGAGGAGAGGAGGAGGAGGAGGAGGAGGAGGAGGAGGAGGAGGAGGAGGCGGAGGAGGAGGGGAGGAGGAGAGGAGGAGGAGGAGGAGGAGGAGGAGGAGGAGGAGGAGGAGGAGGAGGAGGAGGAGGAGGAAGGAGGAGGAGGAGGAGGAGGAGGGAGGAGGGGAGGAGGAGGAGGGAGGAGGAGGAGGAGGAGGAGGGAGGAGGAGGAGAGGAGGAGGAGGAGGAGGAGGAGGAGGAGGAGGAGGAGGAGGAGGAGGAGGGAGGTGGGAGGAGGAGGAGGAGGGAGGAGGAGGAGGAGAGCTCCCATGCGGAGCTTGTCCGAGCAGGCCACCGCCATGGAGCTTCGGGTCCGCGCGGCGCGGAGGCCGGGCTCTCCAGGAGCCCGCGCTGCAACTCGCGGGCGCCCCTGACCGCTCGAACAGGGGATCGACTACAGAATTGATTTGCAGACCCCGATCTCAATGTCCCCATCGAGTATACGACGGGTACGTCGAACATTCGCACACCTACTGCGAATTCTTACGCATTCTCCGCAGATCCGTCCATGTTGGTGTGGCTCTGTTCTGTAGTCGATCCCCTGCTCCGCCTGGTGCCCGTCGTGCCCCCCGTTCGCCTGGACAGCGCCATGTCGTCGACCGCGGTCGCTGCCTGCAGGGGCTCCGAGCAGCGCGCCGCACGTCTGGTCACAGCGGGGGGCCCGCGGAGCACCCGCAGGAGCGCGGTGGCGAGGCCGCACCCCGCCAGGATCGGGCCTGCTCCGCTGTTCGAGCGGGACATCGATCGTAGAAGTTAGTTGCCCCAGGATTGATTTTTCTTGTCGAAGACCCAGGATCCTCGACGCATTGTTGTTGACGGTTCGACGTGGAAATGAATTGTGGGGTAAGTCGATTTTGTAGTCGATCGCCCACTGCATCCAGCGTGGCTACCGCGAGGACTAGCGAGCGCCCTGGGGCGCGCCTGTAGACCCAGACCCCCTCGCGTGGTGAAAAGATCGCGGCTGGCGGCCTTCTGCTCTTTTCGGCTTTTGGGGCCCTCGCCAGGCCCCCAGGGCCGTCACAAAACGACCCAGGATGAAAAACCGGTCCCAGGGAAGGGGTCCGGACCTTTGGGGGTCGACGTTGTGACAAACGTCATGACGGGGGTCTGGCGGAGCCCGATGGGCAGCTCGAGGAAGCCAGAGCGGGCACCTGCACCGGACGGCCGCTCCCACGAGGCTCGGGCGGGTCGCCTGCTCGCACGCCTTGCAGAGGTCGAGCAGCAGCGAGGCCGCCGCCCACTCGCGCGGAGGCGCCTCCCTGCGGCCAGCGGCCCGCTAGGCCCAGGCTGCCCGCTGCCAGGCCACCCGTTCGCAGGCGCGGCCTGCCGCAGCGCACCAGAAGGGCCGGTCGTTACATCGAGGACAAAAGGAGGCCTAACGCTAAGAACACAGCAAAGACGTGGCCTCACTGAGGTCCCCGTCCTCGCACCTGGGGTAATACGCAATGCTGAGCGGTTTGGTCCGATGCTTCTGCGGAAACAGACCCCCTATCCCCAATTTTTTTTGGGCCCTCCCAACTGAGGTCCACGCCCAAAGGGTTCGGGGTGCTTTTTTGGTTACTCCTCGTTGGCTATCCTCTCACGCCTGGGCCAGCGGACGCCGCAGGCGGGCGTGGATGCGGGCCGGCGCTGCCACCAGCGCGATGGGCCGCACCCCGCCTTCGCGCTTGGGCAGGAAGACCAGCTTGGTCAAGAAGGCGGGCACTGGCGCTTCTGCTCCACGAGGCAGATCACATCGATCAGGCACTCGATCCCGAGGTCATCGAGCGCCTGCAGGTTCCTCGGGTGCAGAAGTCGGAGGCAAACCCCGTCTGCTCGCGGAATCTCTGCCACGTCATCCTCACCTCCTCGACCGTGGGTCGCTGGGGGCGCTCGCCGAGGCCTGTGGGCCAGACCACTTCCTCGTGTGGCAGCTCCTGGTTCCCAGAGATCCGACGTCGTGATTTTTTCAATACGGAGTTCTTGGAGGTCCCGACCCCTTCCCAGGGACCAGTTTTTCATCCAGAGTCGTTTTTTGACAGCCCTGGGGCCCGGCGAGGACCTCTAAAGGCCGAAAAGGGCGAAAGACCTCCGCCTTGTTTTTTTTCAATACGCTGGATCTCCAGGTTTCAGCAGCCCTTCCACTCGACCAGCAGCGCGCGCACCGCGTTCATGCGGTTCCATTGGGAGCCGTCGGCGGCCATTGGGCTGGCCTGGTGGAGAACGAGGCCTCGGGCGGAGCGCGCCGCGCTGGAGCAGGCCTGGAGGCCTTGGCCTCCTTCTCCTCCTCCTCCTCCTCCTCCTCCTTCTCCCCCTCCCCCTCCTCCTCCTCCTCCTCCTCCTCCTCCTCCTCCTCCTCCTCCTCTCCTCCTCCTCCTCCTCCCCCCCCCTCCTCCCCCTCCTCCCCTCCTGCTCCCCTCCGCCCCCTCCTGCTCCTGCTCCTCTCCTCCTCCTCCTCCTTTCTCTTCCTCCTCTTCTCCTCCTCCTCCTCCTCCGTCTCCTCCTCCTCCTTCTCCTCCTCCTCCTCCTCCTCCAGTGATGCATCCTGAATTTTTGGGTATCACAAAGTTGGGGAAACGCAAGACTCGAGTACGCCGGAACTCGGGTCTGCCGACGCCTTCGACGAGCACGTCGTGGATTTTTGACGGTCCCGTTTTCGTGGGACGTCTGCAGCGGGAGCTCGCGTCAAATATCGGACTGGGTCGCGTCATTTTCATGATGGCCCCGTCGGGCCAACCCGAGTCCCCCTAACCCGAGTCTTACGTCCTCCCGAAAACTGCACAAGGCTGTCTCGCTCGCCTGCTCTGGCGTCGCGAAGCCAAGCCTCGGCCTCGAGGACGCGCAGCAAGCAGGCCTCCGCCCGTGCCTGCGCACGCCTGCACGCCACGCCCTTGCCTGAAAACCTCCTCGTCGAGTACAGTCCACCCGCATGGCAAGGACGGGCACCCTTCCCAAGAGTACCCTTGCATCCTTGCCTCCTCGGTCTATCCTTGACCACTTCCGCTGGCCGCGCCCTGCTCGAGAAGCTTCGAAATGGGCGTCCAAGGCTCTTGCGTCCTTATCGCGCATCCTTACGATACGGGTTGACTATACGCAATGGGGCACGGGACGGGCGGCGGAGGAGGCTCGATCTCACGGAGCTTGGCCTCCACCTTTGCGACCTCCTCGCAGTCGCCGAGCCCGTCGCACGGAGCTGCTTGACGAGGACGGGGGCCAAGCGCTCGGAGTCCGAGGACGAACCTTTCTTCGGTCCATTCCACCAACTCGTACGACCCCACAGTTTACGGACAGCTCAGGGCGGCGTACAGTGGAAACCATGCCAAGAAACACCCTGCTTGCCTCCAGGGTGCCCTGAGTATCTTTGTTTCGATGGTTTTGCAATGGATGGCGTGACGTTCCCACATCAAAAATCAATGGACGTCCTGGGGTCTCAGGGTTGGGTTTGTTGTGGAAGGTTTCTTGTGGTCGAGCTCCTACTGTACTTGCTTTGGCCACCTGCTGCTCCTTGGACCACGGCGGGGACTTCTCCGCTATATCTGCCAACGTTTGCGGTCCTTGCGCCCACTTGTCTTGCGGCCGCCTGTGCAGCGCCGGAGAGTCGCCCAGCGGGAAATTGCAACCATAGCACCATTCGTTGGGCTTGAAGTTCCAGCGGTAACGGCACGACGTTGGGCTTGAAGTTCCAGCTTGAAGTTCCAGCACCATTCGTTGGGCTTGAACTTTCTTCCCGCCCATCGGTTTGGAGATGACTGCACTGACCAGGGCGGAATGGCCAGAATGCTGTCGTGCGCTGAGGCGGACCAGCACACAAGTCAGGTCAGGGCGAGCTGGCCGAAAACGAAAGCAGCCGCGGATCAGCAGTACCAACTGGGTTCGCTGAGAACCTCAAAACCTGGAGCTGGCATGGCTACGGAGCAGAAGCAGGAGGAGGAGGAGGAGGGTGAGGAGGAGGAGGGGGAGGAGGAGGAGGAGGAGGAGGAGGGGAGGATGAGGAGGAGGGAGGAGGGGGAGGATGAGGAGGAGGAGGATGAGGAGGATCAGGAGGGGGAGGGAGGAGGAGGAGGAGGAGAAGGAGGAGGAGGAGGAGGAGGAGGAGGAGGAGGAGGAGGACCGGAGGAGGAGCAGGTCGGCGGGGGAGGGCCAGGGCGAGGGCGAGGGCGATGACAAGGAGGGCGGGCAGGTGCTCGAGGACAGCTCCCCGGGCGACCAGCAGCTCCGGTCGCCAGAGTACCCGCACGCAGGCTCACCCCGGGCACCCGGGATCCTCCTCGTTCTTCCCCTGCCTTCTCTCTCGGCCTTCTCTCTTTCTGCTCCCTCCTTTTCTTTCTCATCCTCCCTCCCCCCTCCTCCCTTGTCCTCATCGTCCTCCCCCTCCTGCTCCTCCTTCTCCTCCTCCACCTCCTCCTCCTCCTCCTCCTCCTCCTCTTCCTCCTCCTCCTCCTCCTCCTCGTCCTCCCCCTCCTCCTCTCTCTGTCCCCCTCCTCCCCCTCCTCCACCCGCACGTTTGTTTAAAACGCTTGCAGCAGTTTCACGGATCGAGGGGGGGCCGTTTTCAACTCTTCCTTCTTGTGCTCTTTTTCCTGCTCGACCTCCAGATGATGTACAACAGCCGCAGTGGACGAGCATGCGTAGAGAGCAGAGAGGATGAGGTGCGGGCGGACCACGGCAACAAGGACGAGACTCCTCCTCCTCCTCCTCCTTTTCCCTTCACCTCCCTCTTTCCCTTGCTCATCTTCCTTTTCCCCCCCTTGCCGGAAAACGGGAATGCCAAGCGTACCCTACTCGGGGCCTTTGGGCTCTCGTATGTGTTCGAAGACCGTTCCGTGCTGAGATGCTCAGAGAGTCAATTGGTCATGGAACGGGTTGCGACGTGCGCGCTCGCGCGCGCGCGCGGAGGCGCGCGCGTGTGGCCCGCAGTGTTCTGCTTGACGGAGCAGGCGGGTGCGACATGGTTGCCGCATGGCTTCGAGGCGTGCGCGCGCGTGGCCTCGCACGGCCTGGCAGCAGTTGCAGTCTCTTTTCTTGCGCTTCGCTGCCTGGCACCGTCGTGTTGGTGATCCACTGGCCGCCAATTCGCACCAGGCTGCCCGAGCTTCAGTTCCCTTTGAGTTGAGTCTCCTCCTCAGTTTTCTGGCCGCTGCATGTGCACGTTCGGAGTTGCAGTCCCTCTAGCACACCAGTTACAGTGGAGACTCATGGCCAGAAACGCCCTGCTTGCCTCCGGGGTGCCCTGTTTTTTTGGGGTATCGATGGTTCTTCCATGGAAAGCGTGACGTTCCCACATCAAACATTAATGGACGTCTTGGGGTCTCAGGGTTGGGTTTCTTGTGGAAGGTTTCTTGTGGACTGGCCTCCACTGTATCGTTTCCACCTGACAGTGTGCGACGTTTCGTGCACTGTGCTTTCGATTTTGCTCGATCGCAATTCGCTCTTCCATCTGCCGTCCGCGCCTAAGGATCCTCTAGCGCCGCCGACTGAAAACAAAGTGGCCAGCATGGTTTCATTTGAGTGAATTGCAGAACTAGTGCGCGCGTGCAAAAAGTTCGGGAACTTTTGGTTGGGAGCACATTGCTGCGCAATTTCTGCTGGGCCGCTGGACTCCTGAGCCGCAATGTGCTTGAAATGCTCAGGCGCCATTGGTTTTTGACTGCCTTGGCATGCGTCTGATGGTGACTGTTACAAAACGCGCATGTCATATCAACGCACGCGCACCTCGCTGCTTTTGCAGGACATGGCGGGGTGGAGATGGCACTACAAGCTTCGTCAAACATTAATTGACACGCTATTCTAAGTCGAAGCGCTCGGTCTCTCGGACACTTGTCACAATGCCGTGAGGGTGCGGCCGGATTTCGGACAAGTCTGGGCCAAATCATGCCAGTATTTAAATAGCTCCGACTACACAAGCACCGACATCAATCACCGCCCGTTTTCTTTGAAGAGTTTTGGAGTTTAGCTGGGATGGGCGATCGTGCCTTATAAGGTGAAGACGCAGAACGCAGATGGGGGGCGAGAAGTCCTGGGGGAGAGCGGGGCAAAGTTTAGTTATTTCAGGAAGAAGAAATTTAGAAGTCGCCATCTGCGCGGCGCAATCTGCCAGGTGCACGTACGTCCTGCACAGTGTGCGGTCTAAATTTTGTTATGCAGCCGATGCGATGCAATCTGCGGTGCAGAATTTATTCCCCAATCAAAGCTTGCCTCTGTAGGGGTCCTAGTGGATTCATATAGTTAGGCTAGCGTGGCCGCCGATTTTCGCTGCACGCCCGGGTGCCCGGGTGCCCGGGGGTGCCCGGGTGCCCGGGGGTGCCCGGGGGTGAGGTTGCCCGCCGATTTTCGCTGCACGCCCGGGTGCCCGGGGGGTGCCTGGGGGTGCCCGGGTGCCCGGTCGTGCCCGGGGGTGCCCGGGGGTGCCCTACAGCCCTATAGCCCTATAGCCCTATAGCCCTATAGCCCTATAGCCCAATAGCCCTACAGCCCTACATCTCTATAGCCCTATAGCTCTATAGTCCTATAGCTCAATAGCCCTATAGCCCTATAGCGCCCTAGCCCTATAGCCCTGATTCGGGTTTTTCTCCGGTATCATACAGTGCAACCTCTGCGGTGCAGTATATTGGGTGCGTTCAACATATTGACCAGCACGAGCCCGAAATAGCGTGACTATACGTTTTGTCTTCTGTGATTCAATAGAGGGGATTACCCCCCCCCTGGGCGTCATAGTGGCCATGTCGCCCCTAAGCTTTCCCGGAAAGGTTCCAAACCAGACAGCATGGCTTCCAACATGCGCCCTAGCCTTCCACGATAGTCCCAATATCTCGCCAGGATGCCACCAAATTGCTTCCAGCATTGCTACAATGATGGTTTATGTTGGCCGTGATGACGGCCGAAGGTGGGAAACGCCCGGCCTGCCCTACCGACACGTTTGGGGGTGCGACAGGGAGCAGTTATTTATAAGGAGAGGGATGTAGGAGGAGGAGGAAGAGGAGGAGGAGGAGGAGGAGGAGGAGGAGGAGGAGGAGGAGGAGGAGGAGGAGGAGGAGGAGGAGGAGGAGCTTGCCTAGGTCTGCGCAGGGCGCAAAGATAGCTGCGCTTCGCGCTCCGCGGCCTGCAATCCCTCCTTGTGGCAGTCGCCCAGTTGGTAGGCCCCCCCCTGGTCCGCCCGAGGGCGTCACGCCAAGGGCCACGCCACGCTGCCCGTGTCCCTGCAGAGCCTGGAGTTCGGAGCCGGAGTGACTGGACGAGGAGGCGGGCAGGGAGGGACGGGTGATGGACAAAATCCTGCACCACCCGCGCGAGCGGGGTGCCGGCGCAAATTTCAATGCGCCCTGCGGCCCCCAGTTCGATGTTGTTTGGCATCGCCAGCGGGGCGCAGGATGTCGGCCGGTCGACAGATCGACACATCGCGGCGCAGCCTGCCAAAGGTATATTTTGTAGCGCTGGGGGTGTCCCCACAAAAATCCGAATCAAAAGTGCATGATTTTGTCTATCCGCTGGAGGGGGGGTGGAAGGGAGGGGTCAGGATCAATGATCGAGGATTTCGGACGGTTTCGGACTTTATTGTGCTTCCAGAGGCCTTTGGAGACTTCCAGGGGGGAGGGGAAGGAGGAGGAGGAGGAGGAGGAGGAGGACCAGTGTAAACCCAAGACTCATCAACGATGTTGGAATAAACCCTCCCTCCAAGCTCCCTCTTCATAGGCCCCTTCAAGGATTCATTTCCGCTGAGGGAAGTGTCCTGTTGGGAGACAACCGTTTGGAAATCCTGAAGCGTGCGAAAACACCATTCTCTGGACGTCAGCGCCTCGAATCAACGTGACCGTTGCGTCTTCACGATCCTAAATCGTGCCAGAACGCCGTTCTGGAACTTCAACACCGTACATCAAGGCAACTGTTGCGCCCCGGCAATCCTGAATCGTTCCCAAACGCCAGTGCTGGTACGGTGTCGAACGGGAATCTGTGAAACTCGTGCAAATGTTTAATTGAGAACGAATGTGCGCGACGCTGAAGGCGAGAACCACATTTTGACAACGAAACGGATATACGCGGCGCTACGGCGAGAGCACCATGGTGACCCCCCCCCGCGTTCCACACGTGAACCCCTTTACACTTTTAACAACGAATGTACGCGGCTCCAAGGCGATAACCAAATCTCGTAAATGATCCGCCCTCCATCCATGAAGCTCTTGCAGTTCTTTAGGACGAATGTGCGCGGCGCTTTGGCGAGAGCCCCATTTTGAAAACCACCCGCCCTCCGTCCGTGAAGCTCCTGCAACTTTTTAAGGCGATTGTGCGCGGCGCTGAGGCGAGAGCCACATTTTACAAACGACCCGCTCTCCATCCGTGAAGCTCTTGCACATTTGAGAAACAAAAAGGATGTGCGCGGCGCTCTGGCGAGAGCCACAGTTTGTAAATCACCCGCCCTCCATATGTGACAGTTGTTATGAAAAGAAAACAACAGGGCCATGCATGGTCAGGAAGTCTCGGGCGACACGCCTGGCCCGCCCTTTCGACCTGCCTCGGGGCGTGACAGGGAGGAGTTGTTTATAAGGAAAAGGCGTGGAGGAGGAGAAGGAGGAGGAGGAGGAGGAGGGAGGGGGGGAGGGAGGGGGGGAGTCTTGGGCCGTCTTGGGCGCCTCTTGAGCCATTCTGGGGCCCTCTTGGACCGCTTTTGGGCCCTCTTAGGGCCGCCTGGGCCGTCTTGGGGCGATCTTGGTGGCCTCTTGGGTCGTCCTGGAGCGCCGGGAAGCCGAAAAGGCGAGAACGCCGATCTTGCTTCTTGGGGTCCTCTCGGGAGGATTCGCGGAGGCCTCTTCGGGCGTCTCGGGCCGTCTTGGGGCTATCTTGGGCGTCTTTGACCGATCGCGCGGCGATTCGGGGCCCTCTTGGACCGTCTTGGGGGCATCTTGGGGCCCTCTTGGCCCGTCTTGGGGCCATCTGGGCCCCGAAGAAGTGAGGCGACAAGACGACAGGAACCCCAAGGGGCACGCGGGGAGCCTCAAGAGATTTGGCAATTGCGTGTCAGGGCCTCCTAAAGAACCTCAGGATTGAGGACTGGGGCTCCAGGGGATCCAACAAGGGACCTGAGAACACTCAAACTCTTGCCTCAAGGGCATTGCGGGGGATCTGCGTGTATGCATGTCTGTCTGTCTGTCAGTCAGTCAGTCAGTCTGTCTGTCTGTCTGCCTGTCTGTCTGTCTGTCGGTATGTATGTCTGCATGCATGCATGCATGCATGCATGTATGCAGGTGTGGATACATATATATGTATGTATGTATGTATGTATGTATGTATGTATGTATGTATGTATGTATGTATATATGTACATATGTATGTATGTATGTATGTATGTATATATACACATGTGTACGTACCTATGTATGTGTGTATGCATGTACGTACGTATGTAGCTGTGTGTATGTAGGCGTGGGTGCATTGATGTATGTATTTATGCATGCATGCATGCATGCATGCATATATATATAGATGTATGCATATAGGTATACACGCATGCATGCAATCATGCATGTATGTATACATGGCGGCATGCATGTGTACATGTATGCAGGTATACGTATATGTGTGTATGTATGCAGGCTTATTTGCAGGTGTATATGTATGTATGAATGTATATGCATGCATGTATCATGTCTGTATGTGTGTCCATATGTATGCATGTATACATGCATGCATGCATGCACGGGCGTGTGTATATACATACACGCGTATGTATGTATGCATGTAGGTATTTATGCATGTAGATATGTATGTATATGTACACACCTAGTTATAGACGTTCGAATATCTATGTGTGTTTATGTGGGCATGCATGCATGCATGCATGCATGCATGCATGCATGCATGTATGCATGTATGCATGTATGCATGTATGCATGTATGCATGTATGCATGTATGCATGTATGCATGTATGCATGTATGCATGTATGCATGTATGTATGTATGTATGTATGTATGTATGTATGTATGTATGTATGTGCATACATGCATGTACGTATGTATTTATGTATGTATGTATGTATGTATGTATGTCTGTATGTCTAGATCAAAGGCATATCAAGACATACGTCCATGTATATCTGTGCATACACAGGTACACATGCACATCTGTACTACCCAATCAGTGCTTCCACTTCGGGATCTATACTTCTCTCCCAAAGGAACTTGTTGGGTCTAGCAAGGATTTTCCACGTTGCCGCCCGTTGCCGCCTTGTTACCGCCTCGTGGTTTCGCTATGTTGCCTTCTCGTTGCCTTCTCGTTGCCGCCTCGTGCGTTGGGTGGGTCCAGCAAGGTTTCGCCACGTTGCCGCATGTTGCCGCCTCGTCGTCGCGTCGTGAGCAGAGTGGGTCATGCTGGGTTCCGCCAAGTTGCCGCCCGTTGTCGCCTCGTTGCCGCCACGTGCGCTGGGTGGGTCTGGCATGGTTTTGCCACGTTCCCACCCGCTGCATCCTCGTTACTGCCTTGTGCGTCGGTTGGGTCCAGCAAGGTTTCGCCACGTTGCTGCCTCGTGCGCTGGGTGTCCGGCGGAGGTTTCGCCACGTTACCGCCCGTTGCGTCTTCGTGACCCCTTCGTGCGTTGAGTGGGTCCGGCGAGGTTTCGCCACGTTGCCGCCCGTTGCTGCCTCGTTGGCCTCGTTGCTGCCTCGTGTGCTGGGTGGGTACTGCGAGTTTTCGCAACGTTGTCGCCTCGTTGTCGCCTCGTTGCTGCCTCGTTGCCGCCTCGTCCGCTGGGAGGGTCCAGTGAGGTTTCGCAACGTTGCCGCCCGTTGCCGCCTCGTTGCAGCCTCGTTGTTGTCTTGTGCGCTGGGTGGCTCTGGCGAGGTTTCGCCACGTTGCCGCCCGTTGCTGCCTCGTTGCCGCGTCGTGCGCTGGGACGATCGGGCGAGATTTCGACTCGTTGCTGCCTCGTTGCCGCCTCGTTGCCGCGTCGTGCGCTGGGTGGGTCCGACGGGATTTCGCCACGTTGCAGCCCGTTGCCGCTTTGTTGCCACCTTTAGCTTGCACCACGTATACTGCACCACGTAGTTTACACCGCATAGCTTGCACCACATAGCTTACACATCCACAGTGGAATACTTTAGTGTATGGGGTTCACGCCTGCTATCACGCACACACACATATTCCCCAATCAGAGCTTGCCTCTGCAGGGGTCCTAGCGGATTAAACGCTGAGGTGAGGTTCGCCGCCGATTCGGTGGCCGGGCCCGGGTGCCCGGGTGCCCGGGTGCCCAGGTGCCCGGGTGCCCGGGTGCCCGGGTTCGCCGCCGTTTCAGTGGCCGGGCCCGGGTGCCCGGGTGCCCGGGTGCCCGGGTGCCCGGGTTCGCCGCCGATTCTGTGGCCGGGCCCAGGTGCCCGGGTGCCCGGGTGCCCGGGTGCCCGGGTGCCCGGGTGCCCGGGTGACGGGTGCCTGGTGCACCAGGCACCCGTCACCCAGGCACCGGGCACCCACCCAGGTGCCCGGGTGCCGGGTGCCCGGGTGCCCGGTGCCCGGTGCCCTGTAGCCCTATAGCCCTATAGCCCTATATCCTTATCGCCCAATAGCCCTATTGCCCTATAGTAGCCTTATAGCCCTATAGCCCAATAGCCCTATAGCCCCAAACAAATTCAGATTGGGGCTTTTCTCCGGTATCATATATATATATATATATATATATAACAGACAGTGCTTGCACTTAGAGGCTCCTATTCATGATTTGAAGAACTGGGCCTGTGTGTCGGTCTGGCGGCTCCGTGCTGGCCGCCACCGCTCCGTCGCCGCCTCGTCGCCGCCTGTCGCCTGGGCTTGTGTCGGTCTGGCGGTTCCGTGCCGGCCCGCACCGCGGCCTCGCCGCCTCGTCGCCACCCGCCTCGTCGCCGCCCGTCGTCTGGGCCTGGATGTTGGTCTGGCGGCTCCGTGCTCGCCGTCGCCGCCTCGTCGCCACGACAAGAACTGTGCCCAATTGAATGCACTATATCGATTTTCCATTCCAAAAAATTATGATACCAGAGAAAAGCCCCCAACCAAGTTTTTGTTTAGGGCTATAGGGCTATGGGGCTATTGGGCTATAGGGTGATGGGGCTATGGGGCTATAGAGCTATGGAGCTATAGGACTATCGGGCCATATGGCTATAGGTCTATAGGGCTATAGGTCTATCGGGCTATAAGGCTACAGGGCCGTAGGGCTATAGGGTTGTAGGGCTAAGGGGCTATGGGGCTCTGGGGCTACGGGGCTATAGGGCTATAGGGTCATAAGGCTATGAGTATAGCTATAGGGCTATTTGGATAAAGGGCTATGGGGTATAGGGCGATAGGGCGATAGGCATATATAGAGCTATGGGGCTATAGTGCTATAGGGCTATGGGGCTATAGGGCTATCGGGCCATGGGGCTATAGGGCTATAGGGCTATAGGGTTATAGGGCTATGGGGCTATAGGGCTTTTTGGGCTATTGGGTTATTGGGCTATAGGGCTATAGGGCTATAGGGTAATTGGGCTTTTGGGCTGGGGTATAGGGCTATGGGGCTATAGGGCTACAGGGCTACAGGGCTTTAGGGCTACAGGGCTATAGGGCTATAAGGCTATAGAGCTATAGGGCTCTGGGGCGATAGGGCTATAGGGCTATAAGGTTATGGGGCCAGAGGGCTACGGGGCTATCTGGGCTATAGAGCTATAGGACTATAGGACTTTAAGGCTATATGGCTATAGGGCTATAGGGCTACATGGCTACTTGGCTATAGGGCTACATGGCTATAGGGCTATATGGCTATAGGGCTATAGGGCTATAAGGCACCCGGACACCCAGGCACCCGGGCAGCTGGGCACTAGTGCACTCGGGCAACCGGGCACCCGGGCACCCGGGCACCTGGGCGGGCCGCGGAAATCGGCGGCAAAGTGCACCTAACCACATGAATCCGCTAGGACCCCTGCAGAGGCAAACTCTGATTGGGGAATTAGGATCTACCCCCTCCCCGGGGTGAACAGTTACATAGGATTCTACAATCCCAGCCAGGCTGGAGCTCGCCCCTCCCCCCTTTATCCTTCCTCTGTAAAAAGTACTTTGCGCGAGGACTCGTTTATCACAAATCATAAGTTCCAAGAGTCCCGTGCAACGAATGAGACGAAGTGCGCACGCGCGCGCCGTCGCGCGCGCATGCCATAATCCTTCGACAAAAACCATCCGTTTCGCCAGGATGACAAAGTCGATTGCCACGCAAACATTTAAAACACATTGTTTTCGCAACGCAGATCCTTAAGAAAGACATAGGTTTTCAACATTTTCATAACATGCTACCCAGCCGGCCTCTCGCGCGCGCATGTCGAAATCGCTCGAACGCTCATGCTAGCCTGTTGTCGCAAGAATCCCTTGCAAGTGGTACGACATGCACGCGCGCGCGCGTCCTCGCGCGCGCATGCCAAACTCTTTCAAAAACTTCAGCTTTTGCAAGGCTATCAAGAAACGAGGGTCCCGAAAACATATAAACATTTTGGTTTTCCAACAACTCTTTTTCAAATCTTAGCCCTCGATCGCGGTCTTGCGGATTCTTAAGAAAACCCACGGTTTTTCAACAAGTTCGTCCAATTCTGACAAACGGGCCTCTCGCGCCGCATGTCGAACTCAATCGACCGCCCTTGCGCGCGTGCTGGGGGGTGGGGGTGGGGAGCACGATCCGTGTCCAATCACACCAAACGGGCCACTCGCGCGCGTCGGCCGCGCGCGCATGTCGAACTCTGTCAAAAACCTTCATCGCCTACGCGAGGACATCATTATCGTTATCGGCGGGCGTGATCAACATCGGCGCCATGAATTGCCTGGCGTCGTCATCGCCACCATCGTCACAACCAGCGTTACTTTCATAATCGTGTCTACCGTTGTCGGCGTCGCCATGGTATTGCGCCTGCCCAAGTCACCGAATCGTATTGGAGTGCCCGCTGGGAAGTGCCACGCGACCAGCGCTACCGCGGCCGCGTCGGTCGCGCCAAACGAGCTGGCCGCTGTGCGCACGAGCGTGCGCGGGCTAGCGCGGCCGCAGAAAGCAGAGATGCACCAGCCAACGCCAAGCACTCATCGCAATCGCCGCTGCATGGGCTCTGCAAACCAACTTGCGGGTGGGTGGGTGGGATGTTTGCAAGAGCGCAGCATTTGTTGATTTGTTTGTAAACATCATTTGCACGACATAGACTCGTATTGTAATTTGCATCTGATTCTCCCCCATCGCCCATCCCAAGTGTAAATTCTCACCGTCCCAGCCAGACCAGTATGGCCTTCCCTCATTCCCATACTCTGCAGCAGGTTCTATGCGCGCGCACCCGTTTATCGAAATCACAAGTTTCCAAGAACCCTTTGACAGTTGGAATTGCACACGCGCGCGTCGTCGCGCGCGCATCCCCAAATCCGCCAAACAACCATAGGTTTCGTAAGGATGTCAAAACCGAATGTCGCGACACATACAACAACACATGGTTGTCGCAACGCAGAATTTGAAACAAAGCTTGCGCTCGTGCTCTTGCAGATCCTTCAGGAAACCGTCGGCTTGTCAACCTGTGCATAGCATGCTCCCAAACGGGCCTCTCGCGCGCGCGCGTGTCGACATCGTTCGAATGCCCTTGCACGCGTGCTGTTGCAAAGACCCTTTGCAACAAATGGGACGACATGCGCACGCGCGCGTCTTCGAGCGCGCATGCCGAAATCTTTCAACAACCCACGGTGTCGCAATAATTCCAAAGACGAATGTCTCGAACACAAAAAAACAAACACATGCTGTTGCAACGCCAGTTGAAGGTCTCCGAGCGCTCTTGCGAATTCTTGTGGAATCCACTTGTTCTTCCAGTTGTCGAATTCGACCAAGCGGGCCTTTCGCGCCGCCCTTGCGCGCGTGGTGAAGGGGGGGGGGCACGATCCGTGTCAAATAACACCACGCGGACCACTCGTGCGCGTCGGCCGCGCGCGCATGTCAAACCCTTTTCAAAACCTTCATCACCGACGCGAGGACATCGTCATTTTTATCGGCGTGCGTGATCAACATCGGCGCCGTCATTGGCCTTGCCGTCGTCATCGCCACCATCGTCACCATCATCGCTACTTTCATCATCGCGTCCACCCTTGTCGGAGTCGCCATGATACCGCACCCGCCCAAGTCACCGTTCATTGAAGCACCCGCTGGGAAGCGAGCGTGCGCGGGCTAGCGCGGCCGCAGAGATTCACCAGCCAACGCCAAACACTCATCGCAATGTGATCGTTTTTTATTCATTGTTTTGCCGGGTTCGCGGGCCTTCGCAGCCCCCCTTACCCCCCCTATGGCACCTGTTTCGAACAGGTAGAGTCTTCCCTGTCGGACGCACTGTTGCAAACAGTCGCACGGAGCAGAGGTCCGGAGCCAGACCCCCCCCGTGCTCCGCCAAATGTCGAAACGCCGATAGAAAACGGTCACAATCGCCGACGCATGGGTTCTGCAAGCCAAGTCGCGGGTGGGTGGGTGAGGTGTTTGCAGGGGCATGGAATGCGTCAAATCATGTGTCAAAGTCCAGTGCGCAACATAGATTGCACCACAGGGACGGCACCGCGTAGATAGCACAACACAGATTGCATCACATAGATGGCCCCCCACACCACATATATTGCAATATCCGTAACAACATCAGGTCATATTTATATATGGATATATATATATATATATATATATATATATATATAGGTATATGTGTGTATAAATTGCTATATCTATACACATTGTCCACCACATATATTGTACAACGCAGTGTGCACCACATTTATTGCACCACATATTTTGCACCACGTATATTCCACCACCTAGACTGCACAACAATAGTTGCACAACGTAGATCGCACCACGTCGATTGCACCATGTAGATTGTACCACATACATTCTTCCACGTCGATTCTAACACATATTTTGTGCCACACATATTGCTTTACCTAAGTCGCACCACGCATATTGCACGACATAGACTGCTAGAGCATACATTATCTATGATCCACGTTGACTGACATGTTTATGTATGTATTTTACACAGGGGTATGTATACGTATACATACATATAGCTGCACATCTCTGTAATCATGCATATAATGTAATGCATGAGTGTATACATGTAAGTATGTGTATATGTAATGCATGTAATGCATGTGTATGACTGTATATAATGTAAGCATGAATGCATGATTGTATGCATGTAATGCATGTAATGTATGTATGTATGTATGTATGTACGTATGTATGTATGTATGTATGTATGTATGTGTGTATGTATGTATGTCTAAAAAATTATGTGTAACTCGGTCTCTCTCTGTCTCCTCTCTCTCTCTCTCTTCCAGCTTCTTGTTTTGACGTCGCAACATCACTGTGCGAAACAGCGTTGGCGCTGAGAGTAGCTTTGCTAGCTGTCGGTGGGTCCTTGGGTCCGCCTAGGCCGCAGGCAGCAACAGTTTGCCAGCGGTCTACAATCAGGGTGCGGTGGCAATGAAACCTGGTTCCCAGTGACCTTGTGACACCCTGCCTGCTCAACGCCATATCCCCTCCTTTCACGAGCGACGAATCTATCAATATAATATATCAGTGCCCTCGCGGTCTAGATAGCGAAGTCTGACCCCATACCTCACGGACACGTTCCGCCCAGGGTATCCGCGTAAAATCGCCCTGCACCCGTGGCATCGCGGCTGGGGAGTCCAGGCCGCGAGACTGTGGACATGGATATGTTTCTGGCTTGTTTTATTTCTCTTTCTCTCTCTCTTTCTGTCGTTCGCATGGCCGCCATGTGCGTCAGCCGTGCAGCTCCTGTCAGTGGGCAGTGCGTTGTTCTTACCGTCTTTCTCAGCGCAGTGTGCGTGTGTGTGTGTTTCGTCCATGCTTCCTGCGGTGACGTCCCGCCTTGTGGTTCTGATTATGCCTCCCGCCTGCGATCCCGTAGTGACGTGGCTTGATAGGACATTGTAGGCGATGTTGGTTTGTGAACCTGGTTGCGCTTATCAGAAAGAGCAAATGTGTGCAGCCAGTGCTCGCATCCGAAGTGGGTTGTCGCAGACGCAAGAACTCGGATTACACCGTTGACCGGCCGCATTATTTGCTTGGCACTGCCTCACTTCCAGCCCGCCTTCTCCCGTGCGGTGACCTGCCGTGGAGCCGCGGCGGGCGCCGCGGCGCGCGCGGGGGCGCAAATCGCAGGCGGCTTCGACCACCACGCGCGCTTCGACCAAGAGGTCTCTCTCTTCTGGGGAGGGAGGAGGGCGAGGAGGGGAGGTAGGAGGAGGAGAAGGAGGAAGAAGAGGATGAGGGGGAGGAGGAGGAGGAGGAGGAGGAGGAGGAGGAGGAGGAGGAGGAAGCGGAGGAGGAGGGAGGAGAAGGAGGAGGAGGAGGAGGAGGAGGAGGAGGAGGAGGAGGAGGAGGAGGAGGAGGCGGAGGCGGAGGCGGAAGCGGAGGAGGAGGAGGAGGAGGAGGAAGAGGAGGATGAGGAGGAGGAGGATGATGAGGAGGAGGAGGAGGAGGGAGAAGGCTGAGGAGGAGGAGGTGGAGGTGGAGGTGGATGATGAAGAAGACGATGATGATGATGATGATGGTGGTTATGATGATGATGAGGATGATGATGATGATGCTGCTGCTGATGATGATAGTGATTTTCATGATGATGATGAGGATGATGGTGCTGGTGATGGTGGTGGTGGCGATGATGATGAAGATGATGCTGGTGATGATGATGTTGCTGCTGATGATTATGATGATGGCGTAGATGTTGATGATGATGAGGATGACCAGGATGAGGATGAGGATGAGGATGAGGATAAGGATGAGGATGATGATGATGATTATGATGATTCTGATGATTCTGATGATGATGATGATCATGATGATGATGATGATGATGATGATGATGATGATGATGCTGGCGATGATGATGATGATGATGATGATGCTGATGATGATGATGATGATGATGATGATGATGATGATGATGAGGATGATGATGACGATGAGGATGATGTTGATGATGGTGATGTTGTCGATGATGATGATGATGACGATGATGATGCTGATGATGATGATGATGATGATGATGATGATGATGATGATGAGGAGGAGGAGGAGGAGGAGGAGGAGGAGGTCCTTGGGTCGTTGGGAACGGGCCCACAGCCATGCGATCCCAGATCACACGAAGTCGGTCGCGGCTGAATCCGACTCCTCTCCAAGGGGCGTCAGGGCCAGCGTCGAGGCCCGCGTCGGGTCCAAGTCCCGGCGCAGCGTCCTGGCGAGGGAGAAGGAGGACGAGGAGGAGGACAAGGGGAGGAGGAGGATGAGGACGAGGAGAGGGAGGGGGAGGAGGAGGAGGAGGAGGAGGAGGAGGAGGAGGAGGAGGAGGAGGAGGAGGAGGAGGAGGAGGAGGAGGAGGAGGAGGAGGAGGAGGAGGAGGCGGAGGAGGCGGAGGAGGAGGAGGAGGAGGAGGAGGTGGAGGATGGGGAGGAGGAGGAGGAGGAGGTTGAGGAGGATGACGAGGCGGAGGCGGAAGCGGAGGCGGAGGCGGAGGAGGAGTAGGAGGCGGAGGAAGAGGCGGAGGCGGATGCGGTGGCGGAGGCGGAGGAGGTGGAGGTGGAGGAGGAGGAGGAGGAGGTGGAGGAGGAGGAAGAGGAGGAGGAGTATGAGTATGAGTATGACCATTTGACAGAGTCAACCTTGTGCCTGCCACTGTGAACCACTGAGGCACAATACTGAGTTATACATGTCCGCGTGTGCGCTTCTCTGCTGCACTCACAACCTTGAGAACGAGGCCTCTGGAAGTACGACTCAAGTATCCAGTTCGTGTGGGGGTGATCTTGCCTGTCCACCCCTTCCCTAATTCACGCAACACGGCCGATGCATAACAACCGCACGACTTACAATACCATACATTCAACGTGGTCGAATATGCCTCTGGTCTACCCACTCCCTAATGTGCAGCCTTGCGTTGGGGGGGTTATAAAGGAGGGACCCGTCATAATTCAGGGGCTGGCAGCAATCACTCTGGATAAACTCGGTCGTTGTCGCTTTGGAAGCCGACCCTCCACATCTGGTGCAGCGCCTCCCCGCTTCATCTGAACAGTGGGTAGACGAGAAGAGGGAGCGAGAAGCAGCAGTAGGAGGGCGGCTCCTTGCTGATGTTGATGACGTTGCTGGTGATGATGCTGATGATGATTATGGGTGATGCTTATGGATTGTGATGATGACGCTGATGATGATATGCTGCCGCTGATGATGCTGATGATGATGATGGCCACGATGGTGATGATGATGGTGGCCCTCATACTGTTGCTGATGACGATGACGATGACGATGATGGTGATGATGGTGATGATGATGATGATGATGATGAGGATGATGAGGATGATGATGATGATGATGATGATGATGCTGATGATGATGATGATGATGATGATGATGATGATGATGATGATGATGATGATGATGGCGGCGACGACGACGAATACGCCGCTGATGATGCCGCTGGTGAGGATGAGGTCGAGGCTCGCGGCGCTCTGTTCGCAACCCGCCGCGCACCGAGGCCTCGCCGACGACCAGTTCCACCACTGGTGGCCCGGCTCACGACGTCGACGACGACGACGGCGACGGCGAGGACGATGACGATGACGAGGACGAGGGCGATGTGCAGGTGCGCCCTGGAGCCCTGAGATCTGGGCGTTACAATTTTTCCGCACCGGGCAGTTTCGCCCGGTTGTGGTCCCTGGGGCCATCACAGATCGATTTGGGTCAAGAAATGGAGCAGACAGATGGGGTCCAGGGCTCTGGTCCTGTAACTTGTTCCGCTACGTCGGATCTGAGGGATGCGCAGGAGCGTTCTGGATGTCAGGGACCCCACATATTCGAATCACCAGAGGGGGAAGTTACATGTATGGGGCGTGCCAGAACGTGATCGAAGGAGTTGGCATCTCTTCCTCGTCGGAAGGCTGGCGGAAGGCAGGCGGAAGCCGTCGGAAGTAAAGCGGGGGCGGCTCCGCCGGCGGAAGCCGGCGGAAGGTTCGCGAAAGGTGGCGGAAGCCAAGAATTGTTTAGGTCCAGGGTTTCCGAAGCCAGCTGTATACACATGCGTACACATATCGAATTACCCGGGCGGGGGGCCCCGCGCAACAGCCACCCTCCTTGTGCATTACCGGCTCCACCGCCCCAGGCCGGCTCCAGAGTCGCCCCCAGGCTCCAAGACAGGCCGAGTGCCTCCTCAGATGGCCCAAGGGGGGCCTCCTCCTCAGACGGCCCCAGTGCTCCCCAGGACGTTCGCAGGGCCCCCAGATAGGTCCAAAACACGGTCCAAGCCATCACAGGAAGGTCCAGCGAGGTCAACATTTAGTGATTGTTGTTCGATCGCGCACAGTTTGTATGTCTCCTGCATTGGTCATGGCGAATGTTCGGGTGATCATCAAGAACACATTCTTCGAGGTCGAGAGCTCCATTGACGAGCCCTTCGCAGCCCCTGACAGTGGCACGCGCCGAGTTCAGTCATGCCCTCCCATCCGTGGTAAGGACGAGGACGAGATCGTTTTCAGCGAAGATGGTTCTGGTGGTTCGCGACTCAAACACACCGAGTCGCGCAGTGACGCCAGTCGCAGTCTCAGTCTGATAATTCGGGCGGACCCTGCCGTCGTATACGAGGAGCCCGAGGAAGATGCACTCAGCTGCTGCTCGATCGACCACTACTGGTGTTGGCAGTCGTCTCATACTCCTCTTGTCCATGCCGATCTTACAGGCAAGGTGGGCGAGAGTCCGTCAGCTTGCAAGCAGAGTGGTCAGGCATCGGCCTCTCCAAGCGCACGAACGCCTCTGAGCAGCAAGGCCGGAAGCTTTACACCTACGGGTTGCAATGCTGCGGTCCTCGTTCCGGGCTGCCCACAGACGGTAGGCGCGTTCTGCCGCGCCTCCTCCTCTGCAGGGCAGTGGCCCGATCCTGACATCCAACACTTAAGGACTGATAGTATGCAGACCACCACGTTGATCATGAAGTATATACCTTTTGGTGTCACACGCGATGAGTTGATCGATGTCATAAACGGGCAAGGGTTCGACGGGGCTTACGACGATGTTTACTTGCCAAGAGATCCCAAGACCTACCAGGGCAAGGGGTACGCTTTTGTGAATTTTCTTAGCCAGGAACTCGCCTACAGCTTCCGCGGCGCTTTCAGCGGCTTCACGCAGTGGCCTATCCGGTGCATTTGGCTTTGTACGGTGGAGTGGTCTAAGTCTCAGAGGTTTCAGGTGCATGTAGACCATTGCTCTAACCATACTGTCATGGGGGATCACATGCCCGATTAGTTCAAGCCTGCGATCTTCGTCGACAAGTCTCGGGCTCTCTTTCCGCAGCCCACTTGAACAACTCGAGTTCGCACCCGTCTGCCACGATCCCCATGCTCAGGCTTGCCCTCTGCTGGCCTGGTCTTGCGCTCTGCTCCGGGCTGGGGAGCCCTGGGCTCGCCTCCTTGGAGCTTTTTAACAGGTGGGGTGTGGGGTCCCCTGCCAAGGGGGCCACAAGCATGTGCGCAATAGTGCATGCAATAGGTCATCCTGTACACATACTCATACAATGTCACGTGACGTGCATTTGCTTGACTTTAGTCGATCAACTTCTCGCACAAACCGTCGTTTTTAACAGCATCTAGCGCAATCTAGCTGTATCCAATCGAATGCACTTGAATCCTGGCGTTTTTTGTTTACGAGCAGAGGTTCGCAATCATTGGTGTGCCAAGGTGCACTGGTTGCGTCTAGCCGTGCAATACTTGATTTGACCAATTTAAGTGTTAAGTCCTCTGGCGCGATATCTGTGCGCAGTTGTTGCACGCGACCCCACTGGAACTGACCCTTCGCTCAGGCTCTAACTTTGTTGCCAGCGTTTTGTCGTTGATCGGTAGGATGGGGTGAAACTGGCACATCTTGGGAGGGGGGAGGAGGGGAGGCGCTCCCTCGGTGGCCAGCCTCGCTTCGGGCAGCCGTGCGGGCACGCGGCGAGGGCGGTGAGCTGAGTCTTTTAATGTCGAGTAGGCGCTGGGTGGCGCCCTCAGCACATTCCATATTGGGACGACCAGAAGAGCATCCCACAATTTGCAAGCTTTGCGTGCAGGCGTCAGCCACGACGACCCGCATGGAACGGCGCCAGTGACTACCGCCGTGCCTGCGAGTATCGCGCAGCTGACACCCTTTTGCTCCCGTTCGGCTCGGGTTCGCCGGTGTCGGCTTGGCCGCGCGTCCGTGCAGGCGGTCCAGAAGAAACATATTATGTTTGTGTGGTCCCCCGCTGTACCATAGTTTCCCAGATGGGTTATTCGTCGTACATGGATTCTGTATAGTGCAGGTGTGCCGCGCGGCAGCAATTTCCTCCCATGCCTGCCGAAGATGGTAATTCCTTCCCTTGGGGCGCATTTTCTGTTTTCTGAACGTGCCCCCAGGCGGTGAAGTCTGACTGGGGCGGGGAGGGGGCAGTATACAGAATAGTCTTGAGGGCAAGAGAGCCTGATGACGCAAAGACCCCCAAGACGGCGACTCCAGCATGTGTTCAAGAGGCTCCAATACAGCCCAAGGGCGGCCGGAGGCGCAAGGAAGCTCCACAGGGCACCCGAGAAGCAGGACGGATCGTACTTCAAGGATCCAAGACGTCCCCGCGAGACACCCAACGGCCCGAAGTGGCTCACATACAGTACCAGTGGGATTCCAAGTTGGGATTCTCTTTGGTGACCGCTAGATTTTCTTATATTTTCCCCGCTCCCGAGGGGCCCACGAAGGCCCCAGAGGGATAACACGGTCCAAGACAGCCTCAAGATGGCCTGTGAGCTCTCAAATTCCCCGACGGCCGCCCGAATAGACCGAAAGACGACCCAAGACGAATCCAGGTCTGCCCCGGAGGCTTCCAAGACGTCCCACCAAAGGTCCTTCGACAAGCTACACATATCGACCTTCCATGTTTTTGGAAATGTTTCAGAAATGTCGCCTTCTGGGCCTCCTGGGTGTCCAAGCTGGCCCCAGAAGCGTTCTATATCGCTCCAATGCGGTCCCAGTCAGCCTCCAGTGGCCCCAAACGGACCCTGGCGGTAGAGAGGTTCAGCACGGTGTTAATGCGGAGCATTGTCCACGCATGTGCTGTGTTGGACAGCGCCCTGTCTGCATTACACCCAAAGCGCGCGAGGCGCACGTGCGCGCGCGGCTCGTGGTTCTGCCGCTTGTGTGTGTGTGTGTGTGTGTGTGTGCGTGTCTGTGTGTCTGGCCGCTTTTGGCCGCTGCTGTATCGTGCGAGTTCTCCTTGCAACTCTCCGCTGCTTAGCCGGAGCGCGCATTCGCGCGCCCGCAGGACCGACGGACGCCCTGTGGCGAGGCCCGGGCTGCGACGCTCACAAGTGTATGGGCGCGTGCACAACATGTTATAGGTGTGTCTAGCTTTCTACATATGAGTGTGAGTTGATAAGACTACTAGCCAGCGTGGACCCCAAACAGTGTGTCTCTAGCAGTGTATGTGTTGCTCTCTACATTGAGCAGTCTATGTGGTGCAATCTACGTGGCGCAATGTATGTGGTGCAGTTTATGTGATGCAATTTCTGTTGTTCAATATATGTTGTGCAATCCACGATTTGCTATATATATATATATGTATATACATATATATATATATATATATATATATTGTGCAAGCTTTGTGGTGCAATCTGCGCGTTGCGATCTATGTGTGTGATGTAGTGCATGTGGAACAGTATACGTGGTTCAATCTAGGTGGTGCAATCTGTGTGCTGCAATGCATGTGGTGCGATCTACTTGGTTCAGCCTATGTGTCGCAATCTTTGCAGTGCAATCTTTGTGGTGCGATTCACCAATGCTCGCCGTGAACTGTCAACTCCACTTCTCGCGCAATCATCCCATCCACCCACCCGCAGCTTGGTATGCAAAACCCATGCGACGGCGATTGCGATGAGTGCTTAGCGTTGGCTGGTGCATCTTTGCGGACGCGCTAACCCGCGTACGCTCACGCGCGTAACGGCCAGCTTGTGCGGCTCGACCGACGCGGCCGCTGTCGCGCTAACCGCTTGGCATTTCCCTTCGGGCACTTCAGTGCGAGTCGGTGATTTGGGCGGGCGCGGTGTCATGGCGACGCCGACAACGGGAGGCACGATGATGAGATTAGCGATTCTGGTGGCGGTGGTGGCGACGACGATGACAAGGCTAATGACGGCGCCGATGTTGATCACGCCCGCCGATAACGAGACGATGCCTTTTGTTGGCGATGAAGGTTTTTGCAGGAGTTTGACATGCGCGCGCGGCCGACGCGCGTGAGTGGCCCGCGTAGTATTGTTTGACACGGATCGTGCGCCCCCCCAGCGCGCGCGCAATGGCGTTCGAATGATTCCGGCATGCGGTGCGAGAGTTCCGCTTGGCAGAATATGTTGGGTGAGCGTGTTGAGCAAACATTCTTCTGGTGTTCTTAATGATCAGTAAAACCGCGAGCGTCGTTTTTCTGCGGTAGAAATCAGTTGACCGAGGTCAATAAATAACATGACATGCTGTTGCAGAACCATGTGTTCTGATATGTTTCGGGGCGCTTGTTTCTACAAATCGTGTGAAACCTGAGGTTTTTGAAGGATCCCGGCATGCGCGCACGACGTCGACATGCGCGCGCGAGAGGACCGCTTGGTAGCATTTTCCGAACATGAGAAAAATATTTCTTGAAAACTCTAGACGCTTCGCGTAGCCCCACCAGCCCATCCAGAAACGATGCCCAGAAGATTTGCCTCGATCAGGGAAGTGGGCAGCACAGAGGAAGGGTCCCCCAGTGGAGGCCTCTTGGAGCGTCACTTTTGGCGGTCCCGGGCACCTCTTAGAGGTTTTTGGGTGCCCCGCAGAGCTTCTTGGGGCCTCTTGGGGGTCTCTTGGGAGCCTCTCGGAGGCCTCTTGGGCTCCTGTTGGGGCCTCCTGGGGCCTCTTGGGCGCCTCTTGGGGCCCTGTTGAAGCGCTTTTGGGAGCCTTGGGAGCGCTCTTGGGACCCTTTTGGGCCATCTTGGAGCCATCTTGAGGCCTCGGATGGCCATCGGAAGCGAAAAGGCTCAAAGAAGGGGGCTCCCTTAATTAGCCTCGCCCCTCGGGGGCCCCCCAAGTCGCCTTTTTGAGCGTTCTTAGGGCGCTCTTGGAGCGCTCTTGGGCGCTTTTGGGGCCGTCTTGGGGCTCCGTTGGCCCCGTATTAGGGCTCAGGCCATCTTGGAACTATCTTAAGGCCTCGAATGGCCATAGGAAGCGAAAAGGCGAGAAAGCCAACAACATTGATTTTACTAAGGTTTTTGAAGGATTTTGGCCTCTTGGGGGCATCCTTGGGGAGCTCTTTCGGCATTTCAGAGTCGTCTTGGAGCAGTCTTGGGGCGTCGTGGAGCATCTTGGGAGCCATCTCGAGGCATCTTGCGCTATCTTGAGCCATCTTGGAGCTCATCTTGGGCTCTCTGAGGCCCTCTTGGGGCCATGTTGGGCCACCTTGGACGCCCTGACCGCTCGTGGGGCGCCCCGTCCAGGTCCAGGGGAGGGGGTATGGGGGAGGGGTCAAGACGCCCTCCCCGCCCGCAAGCCGTCTCGCTCACTCCCACCCGCCCTCCCAACACATACGTAGCACCCGTGTCCGGCCCGAGCCTTAGCACATGCAGCAGTCGTCTTTGGAAGGGCAGTTGCTGGGGGCCAATCCGCCGCCGCCGCCGCCGCCGCCGTCGCCGCTGCCCGCCGCCGCCGCCGCCGCGCCGCCGCCGCCGCCGCTGCCGCCGCCGCCGCCGCCGCCGCCGCCGCTGCGCGCGCGCCGCCGGCGCCCCCCCCGCTGCCAATTCGCCGCCGCCGCAGCCGCTGCCGCCGCGCCGCCGCCGCCGCCCCGCTGCCGCTGCCCGCCGCCGCCGCCGCCGCGCCGCCGCCGCCGCCGCCGTCGCCGCCGCCGCCGCTGCGCCGCTCGCCGCCGCCGCCGCCGCCGCGCCGCCGCCGCCGCCGCCGCCCCCGTTGCAAATTCGCGCCGCCGCCGCAGCCGCTGCCGCCGCAGCCGCCGCCGCCGCCAAGTGTACTCTGTATTGTTTTTTGGGAGGGATGGTGGGGGGAGGCCGCATCGGGTTGGCTGCGCATGCTCCGAATTTGGAGGCCGAATGTGTTTTGTATGGTTTTTTTACAAGGGATGGTGTGTGTGCGTGTGTGTGTGTGTGTGTGTGTGTGCGTGTGCGTGTGTGTGTGTGTGTGTGTGTGTGTGTGTGTGTGTGGGCCCGCATGGTCTCGGGTTGGGTACCAATCGCCTGGGGGAGGGGGTGTTTATTGCTAGGGAGCAGTGATCAAGACTCCCTCCCCGCCCGCAGGCCGGCTCGCTCACTCCCACCCGCTCCCCCAACACATACGTAGCATCCGAGTCTGGCCCGAGCCTCAGCATATTCTCTTTGGGTGGGAAGCTACTGGGGGCCAATCCGCCGCCGCCGCCGCCTCCGCCTCCGCCGCCGACGCCGCCGCAGCCGCCGCCGCCGCTCGCCGCGCCGCCGCGCCGCCGCCGCCGCGCCGCCGCCGCTGCCGCCGCCGCCGCCGCCGCTGCCAATTCGCCGCCGCCGCGCAGCCGCCGCCGCCGCCGCCGCCGCCGCCGCCTTCGCCGCCGCCGCCGCCGCCGCAGCCGCCGCAGCCGCCGCCGCCGCAGCCGCCGCAGCCGTCGCCGCCGCCGCCGCCAAGCGTACTCTGTATTTCCCAACCATCCTGTGGTGTTGGGTCCTCGTTTTGAAGAGACGGTGCCCCGCGTTCTCCTTCCTTCCTTCCTTCCTTCCTTCCTCCCGTGCCTCCTCCCCCCTTCATCATCATCAATTCATCATCATCAATCATCATCATCATCATCATATCAACACCCATTTCGGCACACCCCTCACACGTTTCGTGGCTCCATAGGGAGCTCCACCGAAGGCCCCAGTGCCCGCGGCCGCATGCGTCCCCCACACCCATTTCGGCACACCCCTCACACGTTTCGTGGCTCCATAGGGAGCTCCACCGAAGGCCCCAGTGCCCGCGGCCGCATGCGTCCCCCACACCCATTTCGGCACACCCCTCACACGTTTCGTGGCTCCATAGGGAGCTCCACCGAAGGCCCCAGTGCCCGCGGCCGCATGCGTCCCCCACACCCATTTCGGCACACCCCTCACACGTTTCGTGGCTCCATAGGGAGCTCCACCGAAGGCCCCAGTGCCCGCGGCCGCATGCGTCACCCACACCCATTTCGGCACACCCCTCACACGTTTCGTGGCTCCATAGGGAGCTCCACCGAAGGCCCCAGTGCCCGCGGCCGCATGCGTCCCCCACACCCATTTCGGCACACCGCACGTTTGCTCCATAGGGGCTCCACCGAAGGCCCCAGTGCCCGCGGCCGCATCACCCACACCCATTTCGGCACACCCCTCACACGTTTCGTGGCTCCATAGGGAGCTCCACCGAAGGCCCCAGTGCCCGCGGCCGCATGCGTCACCCACACCCATTTCGGCACACCCCTCACACGTTTCGTGGCTCCATAGGGAGCTCCACCGAAGGCCCCAGTGCC